AAAATGAAGGAAGACATAATGTACAGGATCACTTAGCCCTATCTCTGCACCTTTCCCCTGCCACTTTTGAAGATTATGTGTACCCTACCCCTGCCACTTTTGAAGATTATGTGTACATGGCATTATGTACAATGGCATACATACCAATATATACAAAACTATTATTGTTTTTATATTTAATTGTATTAGCATGAATACTTCAGGCGTAACAAAAGTTAGACCCTGATTTGGGATCAAAGAATATCATCTACATTATGGCTATGCCACGACAGTCACTTTTGTTTTCGTTTAAAAGACAGTCTTTTCCCTGCAGAGTCAGTGAAATGCTTTCAATGTCCTATGCCACGACAGTCACTTTTGTTTTCATTTAAAAGACAGTCTTTTCTCTGGAGAGTCAGTGAAATGCTTTCAATGTCTAAGTTGCATCTAATAGTATAGAAATTACAGAGAGAATATTTTTATTTCAATGTACGGATACTGAACAGCATCCCAATCAGGCTGTGGTGGGTAGAATTTAAATCTTTGCTCACTGAGATGGTTGACTAAATAAAATCACAAAGAAATAAAGCAGAAATTTCTAACACAGAGATGCCCTGCACCGTCTCTGTTCCTAACAAGTCACAGCTATGATCACAGCAGTTCTAACCTTAAAATGAAGATTTCTTCATCAGGACAAAAAGAACTACTACTTAAGGTGTTGGAAAGATATTCTGCAACAGGGTAAAAACCCCAGCTACTTACAAATTGCTGCCTTTGGGGGTTTGGGGTCTATTTTTTTAATGAAGTTATTTAACCCATTTTTACCTGTGAAAACTAATAAGCACAGAGAAGATGAGGAGTTTTTTGTTTGCTTTAGTGCCTTTTGTTTTCTAAGCTGGCTCTCAGAACGTGAGAGTTCACTTGTCTATTTGGTTTTGGGATTGCCTGGATTCATATCTCACTATTCTGATACCAGATCTTCGATTCCTGGGACTGAGTTGATAACATTTGAGGGTTAAATTTTTGGATGGCTTAAAAGCACTGAAAGCAATGGAATTGTCCTAGCCTGAATGATGCAAACCTGAATGTGTCCCTAATGGGGGACATTCTGAGAATTTCTTAAGTTCCCTAACACTTGGGACCAAACTCCCTTCAGTATCATGACCTCTCTCAGCTAGCAGACAATGCAGTTACACTTTATAAAAAGCCAGACATCCTCCATTTCTTCCCTCCTGAATGCTCACTGCTTCCTCCATATCATACTCTGCAGGGTCATTTTTCTACACCAAGAGAATTTGAGTTCTTAGAAAACCAAACAGCCTGGCATTCTCCATCTCAAAAGGTTTTGTTAACTGGCAAATAAAATAAAAAGGGGAGAAAAAAATCCAAACAAAAAAAGTATTGTACTTTTATTAGTCCGGGTTTGATTTCACCTTATTAACTTTTTTATCTTTTATTTTTTCTTGACTAATATTTCAACTGAATAATGTTGTTCGTGATGCCAGAACTTTCTGGATCACACAACTGGGACTGAAGCATTTTAAAAATGTTAACATATTTTGTCTCCTACATATTTGAAAGTGGGGAAATGTGCTGACATCAACGCAGATATACTGAACTCTTACACCATGACTCTTTGATTTTGATTCTGTAAGAATGACAGCAAAGAAAGACTTAAGGAAAGGTATTCGATCAATTCCCCTCTAAGTGCATGTGAGCAATAAACCTAATTTTCCAGTTTGAATTAATTTGCTATTCAGAATTGTCCAAATGTTCTCTGTGAATACATTTCAGTCTGTGGATTGCTCCCAAACTATTCATAGCTTGTACAACCGTAAATATTGATTGCTACAGACAGACAGACAGACAGTGCTGAATATACAGCTTAAGTTCTATTGTATTGTTTCCTTTCCCAAGCAGGACAATTAAACATCTAAATATTGTTCTCACCTAAAATGAGTGTTGCTTCAAAGTGGTTCTTAACTATTGACTCCAAATGAGCTTTCTGTGGTAAAATAGAAAATAAATCCTATACAAGACAACAAAAAATAAAATCTACCAGAGTAGTGAAAGACTTTGAACCACATGGTTGAACACACTCATGCAAAAATAGGCCCTGCCTCCTGCATGCCATCATTCAAACTGGTAGTAAGCCACTTCCTAATCCATATGTAGAGATTCACTTTTCCTGCCTTACTTCCCTCCCAAAGAGCAAAACCACAAATAACTTCAGTCAGATGCACTCAGACCCCACAAAAATGTGCCTAATGGTTTGTTAATGATGAAGTGACCTAAGTGGAGGTTGCAGGGAGAGGATTACAAAAGGTTTCAATGGAATAAACCAAGTATTTAAAAACACACAGGGGTAGGATGGAGCTGAAGGTTCAGTAGCCAGTGGCAATACATCTTTGTAGATTTATCTCCCCTCCTTCCTATCACTTGCCTTTTTGCTCTATTTATTTTTCTTGATTTTTTTTTTCCTTTCAACACAATACTTATAAAAGAAATTAATTTACTAAGCTTTGATGCATTGTTTTCTACAAAGCAAAACTTTTGGCAAACTAAAATGTTATATAGCTTCCTGAAAGTAAAATCATCTTTATAATGAAGGATTTCTCTGACATTGCACAAACAAATAGGAAAAGAAGGCCTGCAGGCAATGGTTTATTTATAATAACTCTTCTCTTGATTTTTTTAGAAATAGAGGACAAAAAGCATGGCCCATTCTTCCTCTAATTTGTTGCCAACCAGCTGGGCTAACAATATCGCACGTACTTCTTCCAATCATGGCAATTTTTTCGATCCTGCAACAGGATGGTGAAAAATCCCCAACACATTGCAAGCAGTGGACCTACCTTACCCTAACCAGAATTCGCCTAGAGGCAAAAGCACACGGTCTGCAGGGCTGAGACACGGGAACTCAGCTTTAGACCTAATACAATTTTTGACATTAATTTTCTTTAGGTGGAGAAAATTCTTAACCAGAGAGATATGGTCTAACTCCATTTCCTGGCCTTTAACAAAGACAGACTGTGAAAGCAAGTGGTTGTATTACTGTTATTTTTCACAGAGAGCCTTCTCTACAAACCCTACTGCCTGCAAGAGTCTTCCTGAATACTTTCACCTCACTCCTGCTTTCTCTGATCTTAAAACATCTCTTCTCCCTTGCATATGCTTCTTCTACCCTCTCCCCTATTATCCCTTATTTAACTTTGTGGGAAATATGTTTATATTATTTGATACAATCTCAGAATGGTTGTGGTTGGAAGGGATGCCTGGGGACCATCTAGTCCAACATCCTTTCTCAAAGCAGGATCAACTAGAGCAGGTTGCTCAGGGCTCTGTCCGTTTTGACAGAGATTTTTTTTAAGCTCCTTCCTGGCTTTGTTTCTAGAACTGACATATTGCTTACTCAGAGGCAAGCAACTAATACCAGGTTTCTTGCACTTTCCTTCAATCCACCTTTTGCAAATGGTACTTTGTTACTTGTATGCATGCTAGTGTTTCATACATTGTACTAACTATACAAAGGGACATTAATTTTTTCCTGTGGTTATTCTGAAAAGAAATAGACAGCATAACTAATGGCTTCAGATACAAGCTTCCTGGGAACCATCCAGCTCTAGTATTGATTATGAAATAACATACATTCATGCATGCTCAAGGAATATACAAGAATGGTCACCCTTCATGAAAGAATCAACAACTATACTCTTCAGATACAAAGTCCATATCTTTTCTGAGAGCATAGAAAAAGAAAAAATAGCAAATATACAAGAATGATTCAAAATAACACAGTGATGTGCTCAAAATTCACATTGAATAGTGTCTTAGTGAAGTGCAATTTATATCAGCTGGGATCCACGCCTCTATTCTTGAAGTGTATCACATATATTTCAGTCTAGAAAAAGTATAAAAGAAACTGTCCACAGTGGGGAGATTACAGTTTAAAAAAAAAGATTTAAATAAAAGAAAACTTATTGTGAACCAGAGCAGAAAAGTCACTTTTAAAGAGGAATTTTAGTGAGAAGAAGATGGCAGCTTGCCTGCCACATATGGGAAAACAGTCCCCAGGTAAGTGCATGAACAGAGTAGGAGTGAAGCATTAAGGCTGGCACAGATACCTGGGAAGAAAATACTGGAAGCTGTCTTTGTTCTCAAGGCAGGCATAAAAAATTAGAAGTTAGAGCAGCAATAATTGTGAATTACCCTGAATATAGCTATTATACTATTAAATCCCATTCACTGATCAAAAAAGCAATGAATGGTAACTGAGGCACAGAAGAGAACAGCAGCCTATATTGCTTCTGCACAAGATCATAAAGTCACTGATGGACAAAAGTGAGGGTCATTACAATCCCCAAACTAAATAAATCACTAAGATTATTATATTGACATTTTTATGTCATTCATAGAACAGCACAAAAAGTTGAATCCTGAGAAAATGATATGAGTAGTAGACAGTTGCATGAATTGGACTGATCCTGCTTGGATCTCTAACGACTTGCATGAAATGGTTCTAAGAAGACCAACTATATTTTCTAACAAGCTCTACTACAACTATCCTTAGTTAGGATTTGACCGGTCATGTTTATAGAAACTAACCTGACACAGCTGCAGGCAACAATTTCTGAGATGAACCTATGCCTCATATAGTGGGAGGAATATGTTAAGAGGCAGGAGATATTTAGGCAACTAATGATGGAAAGTTTCCAGCATAAGAGCAGCCAAGAAGCTTCTGTAAATAACTCCCAGTTTTGAACATAAGGCATTTCTGCTGGAGAGTCCTTGAGTCTGGATCTCACGCTTCACTTGACCATGTGCCAGAGCTTGCAATGACTGGAGTTTCAGGGCACATATCAGGCCCATCTGTTCGTTTAGCCTTTTGCCTGGAGTAGGTTGGGATACAAGCAGCATGCTGTTCAAACATTGCATTCTGCAAGTAGTAAGGATGGTGGGTTTGAGTTCCAGTCTTTGACATGGTCTTGGGTCGGTTGAGAAATCCTATGGAATAGTTTTATTTTGATGAAGACTGACTATTTATAGATCCTAGTGCTGAGATACTAGGTGATTTGGGAAATGACTACCTATTCCTGAAAATAAAATATAGATGGTATGGATGCATTTATTTAAAATTTAATGCGCACTCAACTCAGACACTCAGATCACAGGACAGTTGCTTGCCTTAGAATCTCACAGTAGACAGAAAATAAGGTAGTGTGTAAGGATGGGTTTTCATTTGCTTTTGGAAGTTTCCAGAATACAGTGCTGTGAATCAAACACATGCACACACTTGAGTACAAAAGTATGCACATGTGCACATACCTACCCCTATAAACATCAGGGTAACACAGTCCTTCTCTATCCTTCCCTAAAGAATTTCTGCATAAAACAAACTCTCCTCTAGTCACTAAAATTTCTACCAGGTCCAAACACTGGTAATGTAAATCGCCAAATTACAGCACTCTGCACCACAGCAACCAGATTTTATAAGGGCTGCACATCCAAATAAATGCCCCTGGGCAACCCATTCATCTAACAGCTGGAAAGGTGACACTTGACATTTGGAAACTTTCCTGTGAAGATTGCTGTAAGGCTTTCCCATTAGCTTCCTGGTGAGACTGTAAGGTTGAATAAGCTGCCTTGAAACCTGCAAAGGGTAACGGAAATGCTCTAATATCACAAGTCTGCTCGATTTAAAATTCTAATTCTCAAGCCATGACTATTCAGATTTTTTCCAAAGTATTAAATACATTCCAGAGGGGGAAAAAAAGGAAGCTTTGAGGAGGAAGCAACATGATAAAGGAGGGTTTTTAAGTGATGCCTGTATTTCTAGAGGTTGAATAAGGAAACAAAAGGACAAGGTACTCTCTCTCCCCCTGTCATAGTTACCCAAATTCACTGTGCACTGAGAAATTAAGCAAGCAGGTCAGGGATTAAAGATGTTTCACACTCAGCATTTTCATAGGGTCTAAGAAGGCAGGACACAAACAGTGCTTTAGAACAAGTGAGAAAAAATATGCACAGATACTAACAACAAGCTTTCAGTTGAAGTATTTTTAGGAAGCGAAATCAGACCCCAACAGCATGAAATTGCACAAACATGCAATCAGAGAGGCTTTGAGCAGATGGATGGGGGAGAAAGACATCGAGCTGTTACAGTCCCAACTTCAGTTGTTCAAATCTCTTTTTGTGGGAGAATGAATCATGTATCGTGTTTCTAAAAAGTTCTCTGCACTATGAACACACTTTTTGTCAGCTGGTTCTCCACATACAGGCTGTCTCTCTCTCTCTCTCTCTCTCTCTCTCTCTCTCTCAGAAGGTTGCTCTGCAGCTCCTCTAGACTTCGTGCTCTTTCTTTTACTAGAAAAATTAGGGCAGAGGTGTGCAGTCAGCAACATGCAAGGACAACCAAAAGGAAACATGCAGTTACTAGGTTTTTCAAGCCTGCACCTCTTAAACTCATATTTCTTAAGTAAATTCTCCTTTGCACTATTTTCCTCTTGTGCATTCAGTGTTCAGTTTTTGTGAAGCTTTTGTATCCAGTTTATCAGCCTCATCAGAGCAAACTTTGGTTCCAGGGTAGATAATTTGAGCGTTCTGTAAACTAAAAATATCTTCCCCAGATAATAACATTGGCAGTATTTAATTTTTACTTTATGCATTATTGGAAAATTTTACTTTTAAATACTTACGGGCTCACTTCTTTTCCCCAATTACCCAATTAGGACTTCCAGTTGCACTGTGTGCTGTGCAGGGAGGATTGCTACCCTGGAGTGGAATTCAGAACTGGGGCCAAGAAACTGTTGCTTCGATGTTAGCATTAAGATGATGTAAGAAAGCTAGGTTCAACTACCCAAACTCAAGTATGCAATCCAAGCTGAATGAATCTGTAATGTCCTAATCACTAGATAATCTTGGTATTAGTTTCTCAAAACTTGTATATTTAATTTAAACCACAATTAAATTATTTTGAAAAGTATCTAAAAACAGGTAGAAATGGGAAAAAGAAAAATGCTTTTGAAAAAATCACCTGTATATATCTGTGCATGTACCAGGAAGCTTGTTTTCCATCATTTACTGATTCCACTGTAGTGTTAGCAAGACCACCAATGTCACCCCCTGCAAAAACCCAGGGTACACTTGTTTGCATCGTTTCTGGATCTACTTCAGGAAGACCCCATCTGTTAAACTTGATAGGTGCCATGGCCTCTCTGACTGTAATGAAAATGAATGACAAATACGTTAATAGAAGAAAGAAAAAACTGTTGCTAAAATCTGTCAAATATACACTGATAACAATTAGAAAAGCAGTTCCAAGTTCCTTCACTTATTTAAATGTAAATCTACAGTAGAAATTAAAAGTTCTTTTATGTACACAAGCATTTTTGTTGAGCTAGTGGAGGTATGTAATTACTAACAGGGCTGAGACAGAAAAACAGCATTCATTACCACGGAAGAGCAGTTTGGCAGTATCAGAAAAGAAACCAGTTCCTGTGTGCCTGCAAAGCCAGACCTGCGTGCAAACCAAACACACACAGGAGTCACAAGAAGTGACTGACTCAATGTAGGTTCAAGAAATAATTGGTGCTAATGCTCTGGTCACTCCCTGAGAACTCCCATGTCCCAGAGGCTGGGATTCAGAGAGTCACTCTCACTGCTGTTATTCATCTCCCAGGGAAAAATTCCAGCACTTCTGAAAATCCCATTGATGAGCAATATTCACGAAGCAAAAATAATTTCTCTTGCTTTCCCTTCACCCATAGCTTTGTGCTGCATTTACCATCTCAATATGATTTTCTCCTGAATAACCTACCTTAGACTCTCTTGTGCAGCTTAATACACAGCATGCAATTTCTAACATCTAAACCCAAAAAAGAATGTTTCTCATGCAATTTCTACTAGAAATTCATTTAGATCTTCAGCATTTACTTTCTGTATTTATTAACTCTCAAACAGAATCACACTCTGCTACTTTTCAATCATTATTATAACTGACTGAAAAATTTCAAATGGAACATATCCCCACCAGGAATTGTTATGCTACCAAAGCTGAGGCTTTGACAAATTGTGTTGGTTTTAGAAAAATTTAATTCTGAAAGAGATATCTTTCAATAAAGTTAAAACCATCCTGACAATATTTAAACTCAGAAGATCCTGGAAGGCTCACTTCAAAACTTGTTAAATATATTAAGAATAAAACCATAAACCACAATAAAAATTAAACACCCACATGAAAAGAATATACTATCTTTCTCACTATGATTTCTGATTTCTTTTAGAGCATGCATTAAGAGTTCTTAGTATTTTTCATGCTGTTAGTAAACAGCATATATAGGCATTCTGCACATGAAGTATTATTATTCTTCAAAATAATGTAAATGTGAAAATAAAAAAATATTTAATACTGCATGGCATTATATAAATGTCATTAAACACACATAAGTGCTCAGAAAAATATTGTTGCTCTATATTAACATTTAAAAATCATTATAATCATAAAGACACTTGAAAGTAGCTTCATTAAGAGAATCTGGTTTCCAATAAATATTTTGAGCAAATGTTGATGGCATATATCAAAATGAGGGTAGGGGGGTATATAGCTCTGTCTACAGGAACTGAAGATTCTGCAATAAAATGCAGCTTAAAATCACAAAGTCCCTCAGGGACATACCACTGGCAGATGCAGATTGCCAAGGTCAATTAAACTGATGTAGTTGTGCTGTCATATATGTAAAAGAGAAACCTGCCAGTTTAAGACAAGAATATTTCTCCAATACAAAGGGCAAAGTCACAGTATTGTCCCAGTGCACATCTCAGTATACTGCAGCCTTCAAGTACACCTTTCTTGCACAAAGTCCCTCAGGGACATACCACTGGCAGATGCAGATTGCCAAGGTCAATTAAACTGATGTAGTTGTGCTGTCATATATGTAAAAGAGAAACCTGCCAGTTTAAGACAAGAATATTTCTCCAATACAAAGGGCAAAGTCACAGTATTGTCCCAGTGCACATCTCAGTATACTGCAGCCTTCAAGTACACCTTTCTTGCACATCATAGTGATTTTCATCCATATTGTCCCAGTGCACATCTCAGTATACTGCAGCCTTCAAGTACACCTTTCTTGCACATCATAGTGATGGGATTTTCATCCAAGAATCTGTATCTCCTTTGACCTTCAAATCATACATTAGAAGTTTATTTCAAAGTGAGGGCTATGTATAATGAGGAACAAAATAATTAAACAGGAAGCAAAGCACAAATATTGTCACCTACTTGTCCCACCTACACTCTCCTCCTCACCCTTGGCATTTACAAACATATATCCAGAGGACTCTAATCAAAACCAATTTTTTGCAACTGGTTCAGAAGCTGGAGTCACACAAGCCAGGTTTAAGACAAAAGACTGTAGGAGGTTTCCTACCAGAAGTATTTAATGTATCTGCAAGGCCTATTTACACAACCTCTCTCACCCAGCACACACATGTGGCTTAAATAATACTTGGGTAGTGAAAAACCCAAAAACTTAAGAAATTGTTTCCTTTCAAAACATTTAAATTGCTGAAAAATCACATGAAACACAACCTTCAAACTGAGACCATTTTAGTCTGGAAAATGAGGTTTTGGTTTGTTTGGGAGTTTTTTGTTTGTGTTTGTGAGTTTTTAAAGGAAAGTGCTGATAATGACTGATAGCAGTTTTATTAAAAATGCTTCAGTAATATTTAAAAATCAATACATTAAATTTCTTTTTGTATCTTAGACTGTCTGTACTTCAAGAAAGCTTTTGATCATCTTATATTTGTCATATATGAGATAACTTATTGCATGCTGTGGTACCAGCTCAGCATGTGGTCTAGACAGTTCTTACAAGCTAAATACATAGAGGCTTGTAAAGACATGTTTGTAAAAAACACAGAGGAAAACTTGGTACTGCAGAATTTGGTATTGGGGATTTAATAGATGACTTCTGTTTCTCTGAGTCAGGACTGAACCACAGTAAAGGCTTTAGAGGACAACAAGCTGTCGAAGAGGTAATTTTTCAGAAGAAATGATGTAAAACTGGAAGTTCTGACTACTTATTTCATCTTGTGGAAAAATAGGGTATTACCTCTGTTATCCTGTATCTATTACATTTCTCAAATCTATCTTTGAATTGCTTTGTGCTAAAATAGCTGTCTGGACATAATTATACCAAAAGCTTTTTGAGTGCAAGGAATGCTGAACATATCTTCACCTGAAACGTCTCTCTAGGGTCTGGGGATTTGTCTGCCTGATCAGTATTTTTAAAATTGGGAAAGAACATTTCCCTGATGGCAAGGTTGACATGGTATCCAGCACCTATTTTCTTCTGCCTTTTTTGTAATCTCCAACATTTAGGTTACGTAAAAATAAGGGCATCGTTTAAAAGCATCTTATATAAGAGTTCCTAACATCCTCACAATTTGGATCCAGTACGTAGTGTAACTGTGAGGCTGAAGGGACCACCTCCTAGATCACCTGCAGAAAGAAAGGGAGAACTTTGGTCTTCACAAAGGCAAGTCCCTTCTCTGCCCCAGCAAGGGGTGAGAGAGTCTAATAGCGAAACCTGAGCTTGAACAGAGGTGACCCAAACTATTGCATCTCTAAATTGCTGCTTCATACTGTTCAACAAGCAAACTACATACCTAATTTTTCTGTTGGTGCATAACTTGGGACAGGGGTAAAGGAAAGAGGTTTTTTTTTTAAACTCTGCACCCTCACACCCTTCAAAGTTTAAAATTAACATAGCTTTTCTCTTGAAAATACAAACTACAATCCTATGTTTATGCTGCCTTCCCCTCATAGCCTGGTGAGATATTATATATCATTTGAAAAGATCCTTCTGGATGAAAGACAACATACAATTTAATTATTCTGATGCTATCAAGTGATGCTAACACAAATAACACCAAACAAAAGGACAGTGCTGAATATATATTCCAAATTTGCTATATTCACAGAGCAAACAAGCACAAATGGAAATGCAGCAGCAAATTACAGCATTTACAAAAACAATATTAAAATATAACTGAATACAGAAAAAATATTTTAATTAACAAAACAAATCAAATGGAAAAATTCTTCAAATAAAGCTTTAAAAGTGAGTCTGTGTGTGTTTGACTGCCATGACTAATTATGCATCCATGTAATGTGTGTTCAATTTGGGCTTATTTAAATAGCAGAAATGCTCATTAGCTGCAGTATATCTGTGAAGCTTCAATAAACAGTTTAATGGTTTTTATGTTTAACCAATTTCATAAGTTCCTGTAATTTTAGCTTTAGTAGCTCATTAATGTTATTTTTGATATCCATCTTACAGAATTCCTTTAAAGTGAATGGTAGCATTACTTCAGAAAACCAGAAATATACTGTAACTTTCTTAATCTAAAATATATAACTACAGCTGTCACATGCACCAACAGGCTGATTAACTGCTGACACTGCCCAGTCTAAAGGCCCAGCAAATAAAGGCACAATCATGCTTCCCATGTTATCTACCCCACTAGTGTACTGAACCAGGATTAAAAAGTGCTTTGACTGGATAAAGGTGGATAAATAATGGGAGAGGATCCTGCTGCAAGCTGGTACTGACTGTTTTCTGCCCCTCACCAGTAAGCAAATGCATAGTGGTGCCTATCAGCCGAAGGAGCAGAATTTCCACCCTAGGTTAGCAGTGCTTTAGAAGTCATGAAGCCACTTTTGGAGCCTGTAAACTGGTAATCATTTCGAGTGTGGAACTGCTGCACACAAACTCATTCAGTAAACCTATTTGT